GACCCCTTTAATACTGGGAAGCTGCTTTGAAGCAATCTGTATTATATAAAGTGCTATATAAATAAATCTAACTTGGCTCGACTTGAGAGTCATTAGCATCCAAAAAACACTGGACATCATTTATTTTCATTGTATGGACAGAAAATGACTGTTTCAAAATATTTTCTTTTATTTCTGAGAGACGAAAGTCATACAGGTTTGGAATGACATCAGGGTAAGCAGTAAATGATGAGAGAATTTTTATTTTTGGATGAGCTATCCCTGTTCCAGATGTCCTACTTTTAGAAATACAAACAGATACAAAAGTTTTGAAAGGTTTTTTCCTCAGGATAAAAAACTGAGAAGCAGGCGGCTTGGAAAAAATAGTCGTCATTTGCCATCCATTTAAACTCTTTGCTGTCTAGGAGAAACAGTTGAAATATTAAAGAGATCTCCTTTGTGATTTTTCATTCCATTGAGGCCACACACAGGCAAAGCAGACCTGCCTAATATCTCTAATGCATTGTGTCTGCTATCTGAGGTCCACATCAGTGAGTCATGCGGCAGTTAAACCTTATTCTGAGGCTCAGTGACTGGATGCCTGACATCGGCTCATCTGGTGCGGCTCGTCTGGCCTGGAAAGCAGAGATGACAGGGAGCCAGCTAAGTGAGATGGATTTCCAGCAGTTCTGGGTCTGTTTGTCATCGGAGTTTTGTCACATGACAGGAAGGAGGGAACCGTGAGAGAGCGAGAGAGAGAGAGCCAGGCCTTTAAGACAGAGCGAAAACAAAACCGTCTTTAAAGATGTTCCTCTGGGTTGTTTAAAAACTGTAGCAGGGTTGAACGAGTATAAGTTTGAAAACAGAAGGAAAACGAGGGAGTGAAGCAGAGGTGGTGGAGAGTGATGGAGAATAGCTTGAGCTCCAGAGAGAGAGAAAGAGAGGGAGGGAGAGCAGGATAAGTTGGGGGAAAGTTAGTGGCCCAGTGGGGATTTCTTCTGGAGTTCAACCTCCTTGGCTGGGGAAGGTAGGGAGGGAGGGGGAGGAACTTGGGTCAGCACTATGAAGTTGGATTAAATGTCCAAGTCAACTTTTTTTTTTCCACCCTCAGACTACACGAAACAAAAGATTTTCAGCAGGAGAGAAGAAATTGCAGAGTTAGAGCTGTTTCTGTCTTCGAATGACAATATGCAGGCACTTTTATCCATGAAGGAAAAAAACAATCAATTTATCACACGGGAGTCAACCATATTAGCAGTACCACAATATCGTATTTAAAGAATAAGAAGTGTAGCTGTGGAAAAAGTTGAGAACAGAGCTGACCGAGAGTGAAAGAAAAGTATTTAATTGAAAAAAAAAAAGTCTGTGGTCATAGGGATAATTTTATATACATCTACATACAATGCTCAAACTCATTGTTTTTGTATAATTAAGGTCAAACACTGTAAGCTTTAACATCCTTTCAAAAATGAAGATTTGTAAACTAGTATAGCTTACTCATCAAAGCAAAACAAAATTGTTCATAAATATTTTTTATGTATAAAATATGTAAACATCCTTAAAACAGGATTAGTTCACTTGAGAAGCATTTAATAATATATATTTTCAGATTACATCTTAAGCTATTTGTTAATGTTCATATAATATTCAGTATTTAAACCATTAAACATTATATTTTGTTAGATTTAGACTATAAATTTTTGTAATAAAATAAATAAATGTTGATATTGAATAGATACAGTACCTTTTTTGAAAAAAAAAAAAAAGAATACTTTTATGCAGCAAGGATGCATTGCATTTGATCAAAAGTGACGGTAAAGACATTTATAATGTTACAAAAGATTTTTATTAAAAATAAATGTTGTTCTCTTGAACTTCCTATTCATCAAAGAATCCTGAAATGCATCACAATTTCCACAAACATATTAAGCAGCATAATATTTGTAATAATACTTTTTTTTTTTTTTTAGAAAAGAAGTGTTTTAAAGCATACACCTCAAGAAATTTTGTTAGATTTATGTTTTTTTTAAACTTATTTTTGAAGGCTTAATATCTTATGCATTTATGCATCTCATGTAAACAGATCTTTTATTTATTTATTTATTTATTTATTATTATTTTTATTTTTTAAAGTATTTTTAGATATTTTACTCAAAGTTTTGACCCATCTTAAAAATAGTTTGATTTTATTAGAATTCACAGCTTCCTCCTTCTACCATTGTACTTTTTGATCTGTTCTTTTGTCACCCTCAGCCTTTATGACACAACAATTACATGAAGAACCTCACTGTTACAATTGATGTACTTTACAGTCTGCTCAAACAAAAGGGCCATTAAAGTGCCCTACTCTCTCTCTCTCTCTCTCCCCCACTCATATTCTCCTTCTCTCTCTTCCCCTCTCTCTCTCTCACTCTTTCTTCCTGTCTCTGTCTATGAGGGTCGCCTAAAGAAAATAAATGAGAACCATAACAAAGTCAAGAGCCACAAGATCAATAAACAGCCTAATGAATACCATTCTCAGCGCATGCCCCGACGTGCTCGGAGAAGGACTCTTTGTTTCTTTGTGAGTGTGAAAAAGCAAAGGGGGTTTGGGAAAATGAAAAGCAGAACTCCACAGAGTAGGAGATTGTGAGTGTATTTGGAAGGAAGGGCAGTATGTGTTTATGGAGAGCCTGACCAGTAGTGCAGATTGACAGGAAATGGTGTCTTTTCTTAGACGGCTGGGCCATACCACCACCAGCGGGCCGACAGGGGAGGGGAGAGGGGTGAAGATGGATGAGGCAAGGCCGAGACGCAGGCACCTCGGTTGCTCCTGGCATTGTGTTCAGCTGTTTGCTTGACTTGAACCCTGGTATGGCTCCGTCCACTCCCCAGCTGTTCACTTATTGAAAGCCATTGGCACTGACACTGGCAGAGCTATTTATTTCATTGGGGTTTTTTTTTTCCAGGTCATGTAGTACTGATTGCCTGTGTGTGGCGGAGGTATATGTGGTTTATTAGGGGTAGGGGGAGTAATTTGTAGCAACTAGGGTTGTGAGGGTTACTGGCAAGAACTTGTTGAATCAATTGTTAGTCTCTGAGCTGCTTGTTAACTGGTCTAGTACTTGTACATCAAACTCAATGGTCATGGTCGTGAAAACCTGAAAAAAAATGTCCAGACCTGAATTTTCATTTCCAGACCTGGAAAAGTTATGGGAATTATTAAAACCATAAAAGGGAAAATGCATGTTTCTTGTTGTGCTCTGCTCTGAAGTATATCTCACCTGGATGTTGCCACAAATCACCAGATAACATTAGTTTCTCTTATTAATGTACAAATGGCATCAATATGTATAATCGCTTACTTCTATTGATGCAGAATCTTGGTATCTGACATACAAATGGAAATCTATTGCAGCAATCTCTATGAGATGATTTTGAACGGCTTGAAAGGTCATGCAAAAAAGGTCATTAGTCAAAAAAAGGTCAAAATATTGTGGGAGTCCTCAATAGTCAGTGTGGATGCCTTATACAGTTGTACTCGAACGAATACAAGGCTCTAAGGAATCGAAGTAGATTTTGTTTGATAGGTGTACTGTTTGGTAAAGTTTGAAATAGCCTATTTAAGTGTATTTAATTTATATATATATATATATATATATATATATATATTCTATTAATTTTAAATTATGCATATTAAACTTTTTTTAAGCATTTATTTAATTGACGGATTGATTAATAATGAGGCTGTAAGGAATAGAAAAACATTTTATTTGATAGACTTTACTGTGTGTTTTTTATTAAAAATATTTTATTTATTTGAAAAAATCTATATGTTCTTTTTTAAATATTACTTTTATTTTGTTTGTTTATTTATTTTATTTTATTGAGTATTTGGGGCAGGAACAGAAATCAACTAGGGTTGATTGGCAAAAAGTCATACAATCATCTTGTAATTATAAATTATACTGCTAAACCGATAGACTATTGTCAGGGTAGATATCCTATTTCATTACATGCAAATGATAATGAGGCTGTGAGAGATAGATGTACAGTCCATTCAAGGTCTTAGGTCATATCCAGGCACACATTTAGAAGCTGAGAAGAACTCTGTAGAGAGCTCATTAGAATTACTCATTAGAATTACCAATTAGAATCGGATTGCATGCTTGTTTATTAAATATTTGACTAATTTGACAATGCTGTCAGCTACCAATAAGATATTTAAATCCAATTTAAATGTAAAAAAAACAACAACAACATATGTTTCCCATTTTTTTTGTTCACTGGAAATATATTAAAAAGTAAATTTTTTTGTAGTTCTGTCAGCTAAGCAAGCATCTTCAGTGTACACATCAGTCTTACATTTAACCGACTGTACGCTTCTACCCCTCACAGCCTCATTTTCACGCACGTCAAATTAAGTATGCCGTCTACTGACTGTAGTCCATGGGAAAGGACTCAAATTCATCATGTCTTGATCGCAAGTGTGAAGACAAGCCCTGACATTCCTTCCCAAGTTCATCTTCCTGTTGGTCTCCTGCTTGGCGTCCTCTAGCGCATGGATTCTCCCCACGCAACTGAATAAAGTTCCTCTTTTAAAAGCTTCTATGAGGGCCAGAGGGGGCTTTGAATATTCGCCACATACTTAATGAGCTAGAGACAGCAGCGGTCATCAGTCATTTACTCTGTTTTTGTGGAGACAAAGGCGAGAATTTTGCCCTGGCATCTGCTGCTTGCACAATGCTCTCTCTCTCTCTCGTGTTCGCTCGCTTGCTCTGGACTTTAATGTGGTTATGATTAGAGACGGGGCTGAGGGATTGGTACGTGGGGGTAGAGGGGTCTCATATGTACTGCAAGGGAAAAAAGGGGGAGGTGCGCAAAGCGAGAGAGCGTGTTTATGTGCTGTGCGTACTGAAATATGAATCACAAAAGAGACAAAAAGAGGTCAAAGAGAATCAAATAAAAGTTTGTCCTCTAACTAGATCAGAGCTGGCAATGCAAACACACAAACACACACTGTGGCCCCTCCCTGTGAGGAATTCCAGCAGGGGATTTAGCACTGTCGTAGCTGCGGGTGTTGTTATTGTTTTTTTTGTGACGCGAGGCATTCGGAGGCGGGTGGGCAACGGGGACGCAGCATGTTCGACTGTATGGAGGCTCTGGGCATGGGTCCCCGCCAACTCTACGATGTCACCAACCGGGGTGCATGCATGCTTCGGAAGGCGAGCCCCTTCTACGCAGGACTGGACCCTTTTGCTTGGACGGGGACGGCCAGCGTACGCTGTAAGTGTCTTTTCTTATTCTTTTAATGGGGCCTCCACTCTCACGTTGACCACAGGATGCTCGGTGCCAAACGAACCACTCGAGCTGCATTCATCAAGCTGTGTTTGTGTGTTTTAGAGATGCTGTTTGAGTCGATCGTTTTCCATGATTGTCACGAACAGAGTCTGGTTTCACCAACAGTGTGGGTAACCTGATTTTTGACCTTGTCGGTTGCTGAAAAGTTAAACAGAAAGGAAGTAATACCAGAGGGAGAGATGAAAGAGAGAGTGTTTGAGAAAGAGAGAGAGAGAGGGAGAAGTGGGGGGGTGAACCTGACACTGTGCTATAATTTCAGTCATGCAGATTGCATTTGTCTTCTTCACTTCACAATTGTGCCTGACAGCTCTGGTATCCCAGCATGCCTGACCATGGCTCAGCCCACACAACAGCATCAAACAAGCATAAAAGAGGAAAAAACGAGAGGGGCATTACTCAAGTATGTGTCACTGATAAAACTCTCAGATCGGGAATTGGAAAACGGATTGGGTGATTAGACTGCGACAGGAAGCCAAATTGTAAACGGCATCAAATAAATAGTAAAGAATTGGTGTAAATATACTGAGTGGAAAGTTCAGTAAGTATGAGAGCTAGAAGACCTGGACCGCTCTTCGATTTTCTCCCTTTTTCATTCTTTGTCTCTGTTTCAAACATTTAATTTTTCCTTCCTCCGTTCCAGACCTTAGACAGCCTTTGGCTTTAAAAAAAATCATGCTTCAACATAGACAAAACTGGGGTCCGTTTTCATAAGGGATCAGTCTGAAGTACCAAATGATACTTCATGAGACGCTGAGAACAAAACTCAAATGTCCAGTTCGGTAAACATCCCCGTTACCCTTTTCCCAAAATGCACGGCGCTCTTGCTGTTTTCCATTTGTATTTGTTGAAGCTTCTGCTTTTTGTTCCTCCTTCTCGGCCTCTAAGGGCGACTCATCTGTCTTCATTAATCGTGAAAGACACCAACGTTTCAGTGGCTGTCAGCCACACTGGGTTCTCTTTAATGAAGACAGATGCCCTGTCTGAGCTCGACCCAGAGGGGAGGGGAGGGAGGGAGGGAGGTCCATAATGCCTCTTCTCCTTGGTCAAGGCCCTGATGATAACAAGATGAAATCTGTTTATTTAATCAGTCATGTCTCACCAACGCTACACAAGCACACGATCAGGGCCCACGTTGGAAAACGAGTCCTCCAATTGCTCCGCCACTGCTTCTCGAATTCTGTTCCTTCCTGGTTACAGGAAATAGCAGAGATCGAGAGGCAATCAGACAGATCCCGCTGCCCTCGGGGAAGAACAGGAGTGGTGTACTGTTACAAGCCACCATGCCCAGTAACCTCTGTAAACAAGACCGGCCTATCCGACCACTGGACTCACTCAGTTGTTGCTCTTAATTGTGCTCTTAAACCAGGTCAATCAGTGTTTAGTCCAGAGTTTCATTAGGGGCAGGCCAGCTGCAATGCTTTGTGGGTAAACTTCTCTAAGAGTTAAATTTGTCTCACTGTCTCTTAAAGTTTCAGCTTTTTTGAGTCTTAATTTGATTAGAAAGCAGCAGAGAGGGGGTGGGGACTCATTGCAGGCCAAGACTCGAACCTGCATCAGCAGCAACACCATGGCTTAACATATCTGGGAGATTTTAGCACTTCTTATTTTGTAATCTCTAGAAAGGAAGTCTCCTTCTCATAAAAATACTTTTTCTGCATCTGGTACTTTTTGTTTTTACAGTTTGTTGAATTTTAGCCCACAAGTGCCTTTTCTAGGCTGTAGGCTAAGTGGTGTCTGTTTCTGCCTGATGTCCTCATAAACTCTATAAATATTCTGGATTGTGCTGGTCATGTGTGTGTGTGTGTGTGTGTGTGTGTGTGTGTGTGTGTCTCTCAGGTTGTGTGTTTGTTAGAGGAAATAGGAAAAAGTGGTTGGCCGTGAGGGATTCACACTGATCGCATCCCAGTTCAACAATAGAAATATACTCCGTTAATGTTAAACAAGCTTTGAATAATATTTTTATTTCTTAACTTGTGTTATTAAATCTTGCACTTCATTGCAAGGACATTTTAGCCCACAAGCAAATAACCCTTATATCTTCTGGGCTAAGCAATATCACTTCTGATGTGTTTTAGCCCTCAGTGGTGTTTTTCTTTGTGATATTCTTATGAACTCTATAAATAATCACGCTTGCACTCACTTAGTATGGGTTGTTAACCGTACAAATTAAGGATGACTGATAATACAATTTTTACTGATATAATTATTTTCATGTTACGGCTGATAACTGATGAATGGCTGATATTTAAATGTTATAATATTTTGTCTAAATAAATTAAATATAGAACACTAAAATCAGTTGTTTTGGATGCTACAAGTCAATTTAGGCATCAAAACATTGAAATGTAAAGCAAAAAAATTTATATTTTTGCTGAAGTGTTAAGTTATTAGCGCTTTTAAAAAATGAACTAAATAAGGATTAGATGACAGCAAAGATGATCTAAATGTAAAAGTAGGGAAAATGAGAATCCACAATTACATATCCAATGCATCCCTAAATGGTAAGCTTTTTAAATGTCGAATCTCATAAGAAATGTGTCTGTGCTGTCATTTTGTGCTTTTTGTGCATTTTCATCTTCGAATTATGCATAAGGCGTTTCAGTGCATTTTGATGATTTAAAGGTGGTGCAGTAGCTCTGTATGGATGGCCGTTGAACTCTGTCTAAGAGGGAGTTGGAAGGCAAACCCAAGAGAGGAGGCCCGGCGCGGCCGCTGAGATTCCACAGTCTGCCGCTGGAATCCATTTGCTGCTGTTTATAATATCCCGGCAGGGTCAAGGAACCGTAAATAAGAGAGATCCGCCTCTCATAGAACTGCAATAATGACTGTTTTGCACTGCTTGAGGGATGGGCGAATTTTAGACTGACTGTGAAATGTTCAGATGGTGCAATTGAAAGAACCAAAACATGCACATGGTTCTGTTTGGGTCAAATTATTAGGGTGAGTCCTTTGCACCTCGTTGTAGATTTCAGGACCATCCCGACAGGCATACTGAAAGACTTATTGGACAGTCCAAAGTTGCCCCACATCTATTCAGGAAGCATTGCTAATTAGCTAATCTTTCCTCTTCACTTTCATGGGTCTCTGAGAGACACAAACAAGGCCAGGCATCATGAGATTGAATACTCTGGGTGAGGCTCAATGGCTGTCATAGTTTGGCCATCACCTCCCTTTTGTCTGATAATTTAGTGATTTAGTAAAGATGTTTACTGACAGCTCCGGTGCCTGGTTGGCAGTTTCTCTCTGGGGGCGAGGCGTTGGCAGGATCTTTGTCAGTCTGAAACCATGTGTGAGCTCAGTGTGAGGGGAGAAGTTTTGTTACCAGTGTGTTGTTGACTGACGGCTTGGCTCCATCGTTACTAGCGCTCACTGTTATGTGAAAACGTGAGGCAAAATATAGCTCAAACCCCCACTATGTTAGTCTACAGCTGGGCCGTAGAAACTCCCCGTCAGTCAATCATTGGTTTTATCTAAAATGAGAATCAGGTTGAGGGGTTGCAGCACTGTTGATGAGGTGATGCTTCTCAGAAGACATTGATTCTGGTACTGTGTTGTATTGCTAGAGCTGAGATCTGGTGCATGTTTCAGTGTTTAACATGATCTCAATGCGTTTTGATAAATCTGCACATCATTGTTTCTGACTGATTTTATCAGTGGTTTCATGTCACAGATGCTCTTGTAGCTCTTGTCATGAAAAACATCCTGTTGTACGATGGGGAGGGATGGTCAGCAAGTCACCCACCAACCGACTAGTTGATGTAGAGTTGATGTAAAGTTTTTTCTGTGGTATTTTTAGTGGCAATGCTTTAAAGGGGAATTAAGACTTCTCTGAGATTTTCATGTGCTGTGGTTTAGCATACTAAAACTGTCGGTGAGAGAAGTTGCGCCTTTTAAAGCACCGTCTGTACTGCCATCAAAGTACTGCTTGAATAACAAATTCACTGCCTTTCAGCATACATTTGAAGGCTATTTCTATAAGACAGCAAATTGCCAGCTGTGAGCAATAGGGCTGTGCAATATATCGAAAGTATCGAAATATCGCAAATGTACATATCGCAATATGCATATCGCTACAGCTTGCAATATTTGGGGCCATGAACAAAAGACAAAGAGAAAATCACTCACTGCTCTTACCTAAATAACATTTGTAGCTTAAATAAGAATCAGTGCATATTGAATTTTAGAATCAGAATCAGAATGAGCTTTATTCACCACTTAAGTGTGCGCAAACACAAGGAATTTGTTGTGGTTTTACAGGAACTCTTGGTACATACATACATACAAATAACCATATATATATATGACACAAGATAGTTATAGAAGTTCACAGAACTGACTCTGAAACTGACTTTACTGAAAAAAACTGTTTCATCTGAGCATGTGGCACTTTAAGCATTATTGTATCGCATATCGAATATCGCATTATTTAATGAGTTATCGCATATCGCATATCGCATTTTTCTTCAATATCGCACAGCCCTAGTGAGCAATGTAACCATTGTTAGCCATGGATATTTTTAAAATGTTAGTCTCTGTAAAAATGGAAATGGACTGTTTTTGTCCACATCTTTGGTGTTTTTTTTAAGACAACACATCAATATCTAAACAGTAAAAATGTGTGTAAAAACCCCTAGCTGTTTTGTATAGCTGTTTTTGATCATAAGACCGTATCCGATGTGAGTGCCATAGTGACCATGATGTTCAAAATCAGCCTTCTAACATTAACAATTATGGCATGTAGACTGCAGATAGATTTGTAGATAATATATGTATAATTTAAAAAAAAAAACGTTCTCTCATATATTGTAAAGTAATAGTATAAGTAATCATGTAATATAAAAACATGTGCATATATTTTACATTTTGTGTGTATGTCAGTGGCGTTCCGTCCATATAAGCTGCGAATGTGCCGCATACCCAGGCCG